GGAAACGATGAAATACATTCCTACTGCAAACCTTTAAATTGACTAAACTGCAGGAAAGAAGAGCTGCACTAGAATTAATTTACTTTTAAAGAAATGTATTCTTTTATTGTTTGTTGTCCTTACTTTGCACGGTATGCTAAATGTATTTCAATTTAAAATGAACAAAGTGCCTGGGATGCATTGTTTAAAGAATGCCTAGTTCTTTTAAGTGAAGGTACACTTCTCATCACATAAAGCATCAGCTGAAATCCTTGGGGAAATCACAAATTAACTATACTATTTTTCTTCAAGTCATAACAAAGATTGGGTTATGCACTGTGATTTATTTAAATTGAATTTTAATTTAAATGACAATTTGGCCATTATATCACATCTGCAATGCATACAGACTCTACCTGATCAACATCAGTTTTCTAGTTCTTACATCCATAAAGACAGGTAAAGAGGTGCATCATGTTCCTACTTGCCACGAACACCTGTCATCTCAAGTAGCATTTACTAACAAAACAGTCACTTGCTTTAGCAGAAAGATAGGGGCTTAAAAAAAAAAAAAGGCAAAAAAAACCCAGAAAGAAAGAGAACAGGAGAGAAAAGTGATCATCTCTTGTACCTAAACAGACAGTATCCTAAGTGGCATATCTTTGAGACATCCTATTTCTGAGACATATTACCAATGCAGCATTTTCTTGTAAATAATTTTGTTCAGAATATTACTTAATGGGACACACAAAAATATTTTGGTGCACTTGTAGAAGTCAAATAGGTTTATTAACCCACATTTTACTGATTTGGTTCTTTAATCCTTTACCTACATGAGAAGTACAGCACTATATTGGCACTCTGTAAAAGAGCCCTGGAATGCACCTGCTGACAGAAGATGCTCATGCAACCACAGATTTCCATTAAAACAATGTCCTTAGAATCTAGCCATGAATAACAGTTTTGTTGAATGTCCTAAAAGCAAAAGGTACAGTTCACTATTTTTGACACTACTCACAGTCTCTTCTTATCTATCACTCGCTTAACTCGGATGGCTCTTTGTTCAGAATACAGCTTGCACACTCCTGTTCAAGACAGCAGTAAACAAAATTTCAGGTTAGAAGAGCAAGATTCCTTTCTTGGAAAATGCAATCATCCATTTTTAACCATGCAATAAATACGAAGTACTTTTTAAGTAATCTTCAATGAAGTCCAAGACAGCGGTTCTGTGCTCCTTTACCTGAGCAGACAGGACACCCCTGTGTGCTGAAATACAAAAGAAAGATATAAGACAATCTTGTAACTTCTTACTGAATTCCAAAACAGTTTGCACTTTCAGTTGATATGAAAGTTGTATACTCAAAAGCCTATTTTAAATATAGCTATATTTAAATATAGGTTCTCTAAAACAGCAAGTCATTACAAGAAATCAAAAACTAAAGCCAGTTAGTGTCTTACAGTATTTTTATATATGCCAAGGAGTTATATTATGTCAATTAAATTTCTACACAGGAATAAGTGTCATCTAGCTAAGCACAGCAATGCAGATCTAGAGATTTAACTTGCTTAAAATATCGAACTTCTTCAAATTCCCCAGTGTATAGACTATGTGGAAGTATTTGGGATTTATTGTGTCAAACATCCTTTTAATTCACATATATTGATATTTCTTATTTTATACTATGTAGTTCCCATGCATGCCTGACTTCAATGATTCTGAATAATGTTACAACTATGTTTGGATAGCATTTCACAGCTGATGAAAATCTTTAGTGTATCGACAAAACACAGAGGTACAGCAAGCCAACTTGAAAATGGCCAAACAAAAATTCTCTCTACAACTTCCACAAGATAGTGTAGTAGAGGTATGATCTCAGATTCAAGTAGTCAAAAATGCTGTTAATTTACCAGAACTCTATTAAAGTCATTTAATTATCTCGAACTTGGAAATCTTGTACCTGTAATACCTTACAGGTGGGCAAGTTAGAAAGAGACAACCATTGAATTTAGAGAGCTTTGGTTCAGGCCTCTGTGCCATAGTGATGAATCACTACTCAAATTGTAAATATTTAAGACTCTTTTTTACACTTGTATTTGAACAAATAAATAAAATTCTATGCTCTGTTCTCTCTTTCCACTAACATTTAAGAAAATGAAGTACAGTACTAAACAGCCAATGGGACTACACAGATGCAAACAAAAAGGCAATGAGACTTCACTAATCTCCTTCTAAAAGTGTTTTAGATTCACCATGCAATATCCAGCATTACATTAGCCTTTATCAATAACTGAGAAAAAACACGTAAGAGCTGCTTAGTTTACCTTCTGTTCTCAGCTGATGAATGGCATCAGCACACGTTCTCATAAACACCTGAGCATCTTGATCTATCTGATCACGCTCCGTATCCGTCATCCTCCCATACTCAGACATAATATGGCTGAGAAAAAAGACAAACCTGTCACTTACAAAATCCCCAACATAAAATCCACGAGTACACACCTTAGACCTTCTTCCCAGCCACCATCTTCACAAAAACCTTTCTGGAACACTGATTTTCATGGAAAAAGGAGTATAAAGTACAATAAATATTCCTGACAAAAATGCCACTTCTATCAAATTTTTTTAACTTTTTTTTTTAAACACTTTTACTAGTAAAATATATAAGAAAGCATCATCTTGTACATAATCAAATACTGAGCAGATAAGGAGAAAATACTACTAGAAAATATATCATTGCCCTCAGCACTTATTTCAGTGAAGTGTATTTAAATTCTAAAAACATTAAAAAAATTAAGATAATGGAATAGCTCAAATACTGAAAGAAGTAAAAAAAAAAAGGAACTTATTTTAGTTAAATATATTTTCATTATCCTAAATACAGAGCTTCATTTTTAAAGTAGCTGTACTATGAAATCTGTGAGTTCAAAACAGACTAAGAATACTGGAAAATAATGCAAATTTTTAATATCAAGTTGAATGTAATATTCATTAAAACCTGTTCCCATTGTTTATTTCTATTTTAGATTATACATAATGCATTTAGTATTTTCTAATGGTATTAATATATCTTTTTTTACTAAATTAATAAAAATAGAGGCCTGTCCTTGAAATATTAACACACTGTAGGTAACCACCAGAAAAGCATACTTCATGAAGGTATTTAACAGTGTTTCCACAGCCATAGGTGACAGGATGATAAAACTTTGCTACAGCAGCTTATCCTATGTTCATCTTGAGTTTCCTGATGATACAGTGTTCATAGCCTAGTATATCTTCTTTTTAAAAAACCAGAAAGAAAACCTTAACTATACGATACGCGCATTTGAATTTACTATTTTTAATGTGAAAATTTCCTCATGTATAATGCAATGATATTAATGCAGCAATACAAGTAAAAAGAAAGGATCTTCAATTTGCAAAACTAGCCTGATACCCTCAGAGATCTCTTACACGCTTCACTGCAATAATGCCAAAGCTCCCTGGTGTCTGCTGCAGTCCCTGCTGCAGGAATGCCCACAGCCAGTTCACACAATCCCACCTCACATCAGTTCCTTCCTGCATCATCAATGCACTGTAAGCATGGGTCTCCCAGACCTCTTCCACAAAGTTTTAAGTGTACTCTAATGTCCTGGAGTACTATACCAAAATGTCTTAATTCCCATCCCATATAACTGGTTGCACGTCAAAAATCAGTACACAGTTCATCTGGCTTAAAAATTAGTTTCTGCTTACTGGCCAGCTAGTACACAAGCACAGATTAGCAAGCAAACAGTAAGACAAACTAATTAGAAGTAACATTCTATATTTCACATGTTTATTTCCAACACTGCCATGTATTTGAGATCTAAGTATCAGGGCTTTTTTCCCCCCCTACGGTTAAAACTATTCTAAATGTCATAAAATTAATTTTTAATACTTACAGAAAACCAGCCATATATAGTGTTTCCATTTATCTTTTACTAGCTGAATTGTTCTCCTTTGGTCAGGACTGACAGGTTTCATAAATTTGCAGCAGAATCCCTATCCCAGCTGTAATTAGCGATTTCTAACATATTACTCTAATTCATACTTTTTGAGAAAGCAAATTCTGAATGATGAAAGATTTGAAATTGCCTGATTTTAGAAAAATCTAATAGAGGGGCTTTTCCCAACCTTGCTAAGATGACGTATTGGCAGTTAAAAACAGAACATAAACTCATGTTGTTAAATGTATATTTAGACAGACCTCTCCCATACTCCCTTTGCACAGCTTGTACAGATGACTCTTTTTGTTACTAGTCTGTGGCATAAGCAAGTTCTTAGCATATGTAAAGCCAGAAAATGCATTCCTACATCCACCTCCACACAGGCCCAGACAGGAGGGGACCATTAAGTTCATCTGGTATGGATGGCATAATGTATAACATCTTTCAGTGAGCTCTGTCTACAGAGTTACTTGAGCATGTTAGGGCACACAGATTCAGCTGGAAAATGAGCATGGAGTCACAGCCTGGTGATGGCCCCCTGATGAAGCAAAAAAACTACACTCCTCTGTTTCAAATTGCAATAATAAATTCTGTCTGGTCTGCTACTGAACAGGGTATATAAAGTTCTTGTAATCTGCCCAACTCTGTCGTATGTGCAGAGTTATATGCTTTCCATACACTTTTTAACATTACAGGGTAAAATAAAGATTACAAAATGCAAACCAGAATTTTCTCTGAAATCAGACTTAGAAATACATATGAAAAAACCTGCATCAGGCACACTTAAATTTTTACTAACAGTAAAAACTACCACTAGTGTGGTACATTTACTAGTGGTAGTGATATGCTGAGGATAACTGCAAGAGCTTTATCATTGGAAAGCAAGTTGTTAAGTTACTTTTCCTAGTTGCTAATACAAAACTAGGGTAGATCTTAAACAGGATTTTCACTGCTTCAGAGCTAGCAAAATGCAGCTTAACCCAGTGAAAAAGAAATAGAATACTTTTCCTTTTATAACTGCTTACAGCTTACACAGCGTTTGGTACCAGCGCTTTTGAACATGAGCTGGTCAAGCAACTCAGAGGCAACGACACCTGAAACCCAACCTCCTTGGGAAGGCAAGAATGGAGTCACACAATCATATGCCATTATGTCAAAACACATATGGCATCCACTAGTATTAACACGGAACTGAAGTCCCCATTGCACTCCCCAGTAAATCTGCACGTGGAGATTATACTGAAAATTCACTTAATTATCATCCTCCAACCTTACCGGAAAATGAACCGTTCACTAAAATAAAACAGGCCAAAATAAAACAAAACCACATCAGAACATCAGACAAAAAACAAATTAACAGAAAAAAAAAAACCAGCTGTGTCTTGTATGTCAGATACAAATACTTGCTGAGAAGTGCAGTGGCAGTATCACAGCAACGGACTGATCCATCACTAAATCAAGAAAGACCAAACAAACCAGGTTTTTCAGAAACAATCAGAATCAGTAGCCAAGACATGCACTGGCTAATGCATGCAGAAAAAGAAGGGAGAAAGGAGGAAAGTAAATTCCTCTGGATTTTTATCCTAATTAATACGAGAAAACTTCATAAGAAACTTGGGCTGGAAGGCAACTTGGTTTATTTGTAATTTTTAAGACAGTGGGTGAAGAGTAAAATGAAGACAGTGAACATCAAGTAGGCAGACTTCATTAGTCCAGAAAAATAGCAAGTTATATTGGACAAAGAATAGAAACCTAAAAAGGAACAGAAAAGAATTCATATGAACTAGTAGTTCTCATACAGAAATTACATTATGGTAGTTTGCAATTCTGATTCTGCCCTTGATGAAAAGGAAGAATAGGCAATACAATGAGAGATCAACTGAGCTACTTCATGAGCTCTTCATTGAGCTCAAACAGAAAAAGCAGAATACATAAAGTGCAAATGAGTTCTGATTGCTACTGACACATCTAAAGGAATACAGCACGTAGGGACACATCAGAAAAGGTCAAGTGCATGATTGCAACTCACAACTGGTAACGGATGCCAGTGATAACAAGAGATTGCTGTGCAAACATTACTACTAGAAACACTTAAGAATGTGATGTTGGTTTGTTACTCAGCAGAGAAATAAAATTATACACAGAGTATGAATAAATTCCAGACTTTTTTAGGTTTTTTTGCATTAACTTTCATCACTAAGATCACTTAAAAGCTGCAGATATTATTCCCTTTAGCTTACTGCTTCTAAATCACCTGGGCCCAATTTAGTACTCTCTCATTTTGAACAGATCATAGTTCTTTGTTGATATTTTCATCAACAATAACAAGTGTCAGACAATATATGAACAACAGGCTGCTGAGTAAATGAGTGCACAAGAGAGAGAGCTATGGGAATGAGGTCATAGCACAAGTGTACCTGAAGGTGCAGTGGCTCCTGGAATAATGCTGAAGGTATTGATATATCCCTCCTATCTGTGTGACAAAGATGTGCTCTTGAATGGAACTAACCAACTTCCAAAAAAGCCCAGGGTTTTTGCACATTCATACGGTGATCAGAAACATAAGACCAAGTCCTGGAATAAAATTGGAAATGCATCAAATGAAAGGATGTATCCTCACTTCCAAGAACTAGGAGAGACTAAGCAAATGAGAGGTTGATGAAAAGATGAAGTTTAGCAACTATCTTAAAAAAAAATCTCTTAAAGCAAAAAAAAAAGCAGAGGACTTACAGACCACTCAGCCTAGAAAAATGTAAGAATAAATAAGAAACATTTAAGCACTTATGAAAGAACAAAAAGATCACCAGTAGCCAAGATCATATCAGGACGATGCCGTAGGCAGTGTAATTTACTGCTGGGATGCAGTAACAGGTCTTATGGATGGATGACAAGCAATCACTGTTATGTTTTTTAGTATGACTTTTGTTACCATCTCACATAACATTCTCATAAGCTACTAGTGAATAAATGAGTTAGAAGAAATAAGCACCATATGAATCTGAAACTAAAAAGCTGAACTTGGGAGTAGCTGTACACCAAAACAGTAGGACGCACTGAGTTGTGTTTCACAGGACTTTGTCCTGAATCTGATGCTATTTAATACTTCCATTAACAATTCAGCAGAATTGAATATATGCTTACTAAACCTGCAGAGGCATAAAGTTAAGCAAATTAAAACTATACCAAGAGAACAGGACTTCAATTCAAAACAATACTGCCAAACTGGAGAAATGACATGAAGAATTCCAGTAAGGAATGCTCAGAGGCTCTTTGCTGCAGCAGGAACAATTAACTGAACCCACAGAGTAGGGAAGAGTACTTCAGAAAGTCATCTGGGATCATATTAGATCATAAACCAAACATAACAACAACATGTTGTTGCATAAAAAGTCATCATTACAGTGGGATGCATAAATACAGTATAATGAAAAGCAATCTTTCTGCTATCCTTACGTTTGGTCAAGGTCTCAGCTGGAGCTTTGTTTTATTTCTTCACCTCACTGCAACACTAACTGGGACAGGAGTGGAGAGGAAAAAGTACAATCAAACAAAGAGAACACATATGAAACCCCAAATATACTGAAATTGGAGAGGCTGAGAAAAACCCAAAAGTAAGTTAGTGTAAAAAAAATTATTCTAGTAGCATGGATAAGGAAAAAGGAAGAAGCAGAGTGAGGATATGAAATCTCATTTAAAGAAATATTTAAAAGCAAGCAAAGCACTACTAATTCTCTTTTTGGATGTTTCAGCCATGCTCCTTCCAGCTTATTTTGCTGGCAAAGCACAAGGGAGAAGAGCTGATGGAGGTGTTACGTCAGCTTTGGGAATTACTAACTTTCTGCTGGTGCATAAAATAGTTTCTCCTTACTAATTCAATATAGACAACAAATCAAGAAGAAAAACTTGATTTTCCTCCAACAATGTATTACAAAAGAGAGAGAAGCAATAAGCAGAAAAAAAATCAGTTCTAAAATATTGATACCCACTGTTTTTAGTAGACGTTTCCCCCACCTACCATTTGCAGACACTACCTTGCAAATATATAAAGAAATGCTCCTCATAAGTATTCAAGTACATGGTTGTACAACCTTAGTTGCAAATACAGAGATATTTTAAAACTTCTTCCCTTTGGGCATCTAGCATGTTTTAAATTGCTTGATTTCCTATTTAACAAAGCTTTGTGCATTTTCATTTACCGCCCTTTTCCATCTAAATGCTGTCTGATGTAAATCCGAGGTAAAAGCTTGTCTACTCAAATGACAAAACATTCCACAGCAACCTATGTAAAATATATTTTTTTAATTCTGTGTGGAAGCCTCAGCTACTGGAACAGGCAGTACAGGCAAACCTGAATTAGCATTTTCAGTTTTGTAAAATATTGCTGAGAAATTCCAGAGCGCTACTGCAAAAAAATACTATTTCTGAAATGTGATATATTAACTTAGTGCAATTAAAAAAGAAAAGATAAATAATTTGAAAATAATTCCCTCGAGAACAGGAAAAGAAAGTCTCTACAGAGTCTCCAGGAAGAAAGTGTCTACAGATCATCTACATGTTTTCTATCAGTATAACAAACAAAATCTTGCTTCTTGTAAAAATACGATTAAGTCTAGACAAGAAAGTAGCCTGGAGTCAGCACAGGAGTCAGTAAAACAGCATTTTTAGAGTCCTTTAATGGCCGCTTCTTTTTTTTTATTGTTAGAGACACGGAAACACTCTCCATGAAACACTGTGTAAGCATTCAATGATTTTCTATTAAGCGGCAAATGATGTAACTGATTTATTGCCCTTAGACAGATAAATGCTTAGATAGATAAATACTAGGGCAGGAGGTATAATTACTGGGCACCAACATTATTTTTTAAGACAGATAATTTGTTCAGAATTTTTTCAAAGTATATTATTTGCAACTGAAATGTTCAAACACTTAATTGCACAGAAGGACCACAGAAGCACGTAATGAAGACGCGTCAGAAGCCACTCATCCAGCCTTTCCCATGGAAAAAGTATCATTTCTATTCAGAAGCCATCTACACCACACTGATCGGCCACATAAGTAACTCTGCAGTTGCAAAACACCATAAATTAAATGTCTAATAATTCCAGATGGGAAGTTCTTCTCTCAAACATTTTCCTTTTACAGGTGTTCTGTGATCAGAATTTGGAATTCTCTCAATTCTTTCCGAAGTCTAATTAAAAGAGTAGGAATCTTTAAACTGTCTAAACCTTGAAAGAGCTTTCAGAGAAACTGGAGGCTGTGGAGGAGTCCTGAAAACCATTTCAAATTCCCAAGTGCTAGTGCACTAGTACCTCAAACTATATTTAACACAAATATACAAACTGTCTTGGTGGTTCAATGATCAAAAGCATGAAGGAGCTGATGATGAAAGGAAGGCACAAGTTGTTCACAGATGAAACATCAGACAAGTTACCAAAGACTGAAGACAGGATCTCATGGAGCACAGTGTAAAAAGCAATGTAGGGATGTGTTACAGCAAATGGACTGAGGGAAAGAATACAGAGAATGTGTAGCAGTCAATACACTAAAAATGGGAAGGTAAGAACAATCCTCATCTAAAAGGAGTGAAAACCTACATGTAAGAGAAAGTAAGTAAATCCTGATAAACAGAAGATAAAAGTGCAGTGGCCTGTAAGCCAGCAAGTTTAGATCACTGCATCAATAGTTTCGTGTGCTTTGCCATTTACATATTTTGTAAATAATAGTCAAATCAAGAAGAAAGAAGGTGAATAAGCAATCTTGAGGGTTTTTTGGCTCAATTTAGGTATTTCAATTAAATATTTAAAGTTTGATAAAATGGGTCAGGGCCTTGCATTCAAATAACCCTTCCTCCAGTTGACTTTCATTGCTAAAAATTTTCCTCTAAAAATGAATTAGAGACATCCCTTCTATAGCAGGATATTTTACGTATGCCAAAAATAAAAACTCTATTATTAAAGAATTTATAGTCTGCAACAGTAAGGTCAAAGAAGCAACCAAGAACCTGGATGTAGTACATTATGAGGAAGTTTTAAAAGGCATACAATAATTCAACTTGGTAATTCAAAAGCTGAATTTCACCAACTCATTGTGCTAGTTGGACAAACAAATAGCAGGACTGACAAAATACAGAGTAGTCAAATTTCAAGAACAAAATTAAATCTCCTACATAAGTTTCAGGACAGCCTTTTAATATTAAATTGTTCAAAAACTGTCCCCATTATGTAAGTATTGAAAAGTTATTGAAACTGCTTTTGAATGAGGCATTTGCTAAGACTGTCAGACTGACAGCATGGATGCTGTGATGCTCTTTGCACCCACAAAGTAGAACAGCATAAACAATCTAGTATGTAATCTGACATTATTACCTATTTTAAGTTTCACCATTAAGGACAGGATCAACTGCAATCGCAGATGAGATCTGCAGGATTATTTATGGTTTAATAAAGGAAATGACACTTCTTTCCTCTCCTTAATGAATACCCTTGGGTGGGGTGTATGTGTGTGAACAACACTGAGAATTACCATGATAACTTGTTACAATAGAGTTTACAAAAAGAATATTAAAAACTTTTGGAAATCAAAATAACTTGGACAAATTTTTAGTCATCTAATCACTTTCATTTTATGCACAGTACATAATACAAACAGTTAATACAAACAGTACCCAAAGTTTAACTGCCTCTGACTGCTCTTACTGCAGTTATTTGCAGTTTCTCAACCTGTGCATTCACACGAAGTTTTCACAGAGTAAACCCAGTTATTTCAGTATTAAATAGCTAGCTCCACCTAGTGTTGTTCATGACCTCTTCCAACAGGCATTGAAAAGCAGGGAGCCAGTCATAACACATAACTGTACAGTTACTTTTGCTTGCTGCTTTGGAAAAGCAGTCCCTCTTCCACCTCACACACAGAATTGACACCCCCAAGCTTCATTTTCACCAACTACGAATTGTTCTCATGGCCTCCCACTTATAAAACATGCCATCTTCTCTTATTGGTTTCATTTTTGAAACAACAAAATACAGCTTTTAAAAATCCTGGGGAGACAAAAAAAGGGTGCCAGAAGTCTTCTAGTAACTCACTTAGCAACACATTTTGATTCCATTAATTGGGCAGTATTGCTATTGCTGTGACAGACCCTTTCAGGCCCAGAAGTTGTTTCTCAGAAAGACTATTCCTCCAATATGGACTGGTTCATCTGTTCTATTGTCTTCTGGGGAATGGATATCTGTCTGGATACCACTTCTATTTGCTATCTGTGAAGCTTTCAACCCAAGATGACTTTAGGTTGCATTTTCTCTACTTTGACTGAAGGACAAGCTCAGCTTTAGTCAGGGTTGTGGCAGAATTGGAATGCAGACAGGGTTGACTCACTAAGTTTGCATGTAACAAAGTTTCATTAAAAAGCAAGTTTTACATTTCTCAAATGAAACTATTACTTGTACTCGGTTCACCAAAATACAAGTTGCAGTAACATTTAGCTCTTAGGATAACTTGATTTAGTATCTGCAGACCACAAGTCGCTATTTTTTAGTTCCTAACACCAACCTGTAAACTTGTATTTTAATCTTCTAAAAATCCCACTACTAAAGCTGTCAGCAGTAAGCAGATACAGCAGTTTGGAATGTTTCCTAATGGCTGAAGAGAATCAAAACTTGCTTCACACAGGAGTAACTAGCAGAGATGAAGCCTACTGCTTTTGTCACAGAAAAACAAATCTTGTGCTGCTGTTCCCTGACACCGTATCCTCACTGGTGTCCTCCATCTGGAATTTGTATTTCAGAGTCTGAAGAGTTTCATCATTCTCCTCCAGGACGTGCCGAGGCTACTGACTGCACACTTTGTGTAGGTTTAGTGTCACAGGTGAAAGGGAAAACCGGATCACTGAACCTGGTACCTGCTGTCTCGGGAACCACTTCAGAAACTTACTCTGCAGGTCCTTAAAAGGTGTGGGACTCAGAATTCCGGGTTTTGTTTCAGATCTCACTCCTAAGAGCCAGAAATAATTTTCAAACTCTGAGTCTCATTTTATTCAGGCACATTGTCTTCTTGTGACAGCATTATTCCTCATCTTACAGTAGCTTACAGTAAGCCAATTGATATGCTCTGTCTTGGTTTTTGTCATTATGCCTATAGGTTTTTAAGCTGTTCATTTTATAAATCTTTAGAAAAATAAATAAATCTATTTAAACACAATGCACACTTACCTATAAGCATTAATGTAGTCCTTTCTGTGTTGTAGAAGAAAATCTTTCAGTTTTCCAATATGAGAAATCTAAATGAATAAAAATCATAATTAAAATTTCAGTCAGGTAACTAATTATTTTATGTTTGAAGTTCAGTATTCCACATTTCAAACATGAATTTGTAAAATTATTTATTCTTTAATTAAATGGAATAATAAAATTTACTCTTTTATACTAGAATTTTCACATTTTCCAAGCAGTCAATACACAAAAATAATCTAAAAAAGATGTGCTGTATGAAGGTTAAGCTCAGATTTAAAAACAGTAATAATATATGTCTTCTCTTCAAAAAGAATAAACCAAACACTAAATATAACTACAATTTTAAATATTAAAAATATTAAATATGATAAAATAGTATCTAAATTGTCAATCCAGAATTTGATGTACACTTTGGAAATACATTAATTTTGGAAGACTGAACTCTTTACTGATGAGCTATAACATAAATATTCAAGTTATTAGAACTTGTGGCCCAAAGATGTCATCCCTCTCCTTTCTATTTTTGCCATAATACAGTGACCAGTTTGTGCCCAAACTGAAGTAGCATCTCTGTCATCTCCTAATCATTATAAGTTTTCCAAAGCACACATCCCAATCAAATCTCTACTTCTGGGTTTCCACCTCACTGTGGATAACTTTTACTATAAATCACTTCACTTTCTTTATTAAGAAATCTTTACAAAGATCCTTTGGAAAGATGAAAGAAAAATCTGAAGAACTTTTGCATACTTTAGTCTGATTTAAAAGATTTCGTGTAGCATAAGATGCTGCTTATTTTGGAAAATGGAGGAACTACAGAAATGTAGCTTGATTTGTCAGAGAAACGAGATGACTACCAGTATGACTTCCCTGGCAGGTCTTGAAGATGACATGATGGGGAGAGGGGAGAAGGGAGGAGAATTTTATACATTAATGGTATATATTTTCAGAGGGATCCAGGGGAAACCTTTTTAAAGCATATTTTTAAATATTCATTAATAATTCAGTGTAAAAGAAGCATACAGGGAATTTCCCAAAACAAAAGTTGGTTTAGTTTACAAATGCAATAAACAGTGGTTTACTCCACGTATCTGGGAAAAAGCATCAGAAGCTGTTCAACTCTTAAAATCCTATTTTCATGCAAATGGTCCTTGTAATTAAACAAACAAAAAACCACAGACAAGGAACACAGAATAGTTTGGATAAATAGAAGATTAATTCCTCCAATTATTTTTTTCAAAAGATCATCAGCTTTTTGAAAAAAGAGGAAAAAAATTTAGTTATAAGACCACAATGATCTGTACAACTCAAAATAAATGTTTCTGTGTGCAAATAAAGATGTATCCATCTCCCTACTGTTATTTGCTCTGTTTCATTTTTACTTTAACTCATCATACTGGATAACAATTTCCCCAGTTTCCATGTTTAAAGTTTTCTGTGTGATTAACAGCTCAGGGAATTTCATCCCATTCACAGCAAACTGAGTTCTGCCAGTACTCCAGTAGATCCGAAGTCTCCTACACACATTAGCACCATCATACACAACAAAAAGGGAAATACTGCAGTCACTGCAAGTCCAGTGAGGCACACAAAGTAAGTTAAACCATCCTACAGATGTTCCTTCTCATTGCCACTTGAACTCATTACTTGTACAGTAATCTCTTCCTCAGCTCAGACTTGGTATGTCCTCAAGTTTGCTGAATAGGTAAATTAAGCTTGACTATGAAAGCAGAACATTTAAAACAGCCATACAGTGTTTCAGTGGAACAATAATACTTAATAGACAGAAAGAAAGTAGTACGGAAAACAAAACAGAAATGTAAAACAAGAAACATGTTCAAAACATTTACATTAATATGCGAACAAACGCTAAACTAGAAAATAGATTAGTAACATTTTGTAAGCAATAAATCTTAATATTACTGCAATAGCTACAATTTAGGAGTGATTAACAAGCAGAAAGAATCAGAATGACAAGCAAGAACACTGTCTTACAGTAATTAATTCATCTAGTCACAAAGAGCATTCTATTTAGGCTAAAATTGTCATCGTGTGTTTGAATTGCACTGACCCCACTTTGCCTCTCCTCCATTTGTAAAGCTATTTTCATGAATTTAGAATGACACCATTATGCCCATACTCACACCAAGCTCTTAGTTCCCAAGATTTGCATCAGAAGTGAGACTTCTTGTTCCACTTTCCCCGAAATTCTAACAGCATCTTCTAAGATCCTGCACTGCTGATATTTCTCTTTTGCCTCTTTTTACATTGTACTACTGGAATAGCTTTGAATTCAATTTGTCATTACCACATCAACAAAATGAAACAATTTTTATGAAAAAAGGAGGTCTCACTAGCATTAATGTGGATTTTATCCAAATAAAAAGATTGGTTTTTTTTGTATGATGCTCAATCTTCTACAGTCGCAAAATATCACTGATTATACAGATATAAATTTTGAAGATAGCTCCAGGGTCATCAAGCTGCAATTATTCTGGGGTTATCAGAGGCACACCACACACTCTTTACAAAGTTATCAAGCTCCAGCCTAAAGGTAAAAAAGGCTTCTCCCTGTTACAACTGAATGGTTTTACTAGAATCCTACTGTTGGTATTACAAATAAGGACGTCTAATTTCCAGGTTTACTGATTACCAACTTTTATTCATCTGTTCTTGCTTCAAAACAGTCCTTTCCCTTAAGAGCTCTGATTCCCTGTATGTGTGTTTGACTTTATTGTCAATAACTATCTTTCTCTAACTTCTGTACCCAAGACAACTGACTCCAATCTTTTAGTTTCTTCTCAAGAAACAGTTCTGAAGTTGCCTAATCCACAGCTTTCCTTTGCATTTGTTCCAGTTGTATCCATCCCTTTCCAATGCAGATAATTAGAAGGCATTCACTGGCGTTAGTTACTTCGTAACTCAGCTGGAAATAGCTTTTCTTCCACTATTTCCATTTATGACGTCTTTGAATACATGCTTACTCCTGAATTTCTTTCTTCTCACAATTCCAAGACCCCAGAGTCATTCAGTACTTGCTGTAATGTATCACTTCTCCCTCTCCTTCCTCTCAGCATTCCCTCTTCAGTAAATTTTACCAGTCTGTCTTAACTGTGGGACTGATTTTTAAACTCATCTTGCTCTTGTTTTAGGGAATGCAAAAAATAATTCCCCCATTAACCTCTCTTCAGTCCAACACTTCTTTTACCGTAGAAGAATTGCTGCTGCTAATTCATCTCATTCCGTTAATACTTCCTCTGGTAATCTCCTCTAGACTTACTGCTGACACTTTAGCAGACACTTTACCATCAGACTTCAGGTCATTTTAATCAAGGAAAAGCAGATTTTCTTAAAGCATCAAGTTGGTTGGACACATTCTATTTTTAGTTAGACAGCAAATTATACTTCATTGTATCTTGTTTTCTATTTGTCTTTTTCCCCTTAAAATATTTTCTGAATCCTGGACCACTTCTGAGTCAGGTCCTGCTGATGCCATTATCAGTTTCCCTTTGCTGACCTAATTAAAGGCATTAAATTGACTTCCCTCTGATCGAAGGGTACCATCTTCTATTTATTACCATAAAAATATCTGACATGAGAACCTGGTATTTCTCAAATCTGCTGTGGCTTAACTCAATTCAAAGACTACCTGATGACCACAATTTGGCTGCATTAAAGTTCTGGGATTTTCCAATTTCCAATTCCGTGCTCTGGTTCCCAGTACATATATTAAAATAGCTAAAGAATACTTTAACTTTCAGAGGGTTTTAATAACATTAGATAACTTGGAGAATTTGGCTGAACCTGACTTTATTACAAAGTCTGCTCTTTTGTGACAGTTTTCTTGGCCAGTCTCTCTCCCTGATTTTCACTGCCTCTGGGATAATTTTTTGTTATCTTCTCTAATTGATCTTTCAAGTAGATCTAGACGAATTTTAAATCCCACTTGCATTTCAGCACATCCATTTTTTGTCACTCCATTTACCCACCCATCATAACTGCAACTTCCTATTTGCTGTACACGCATGTTTTCAAAATATACCACTAGCTGACACACCCATCAAAAGGATAGATAACAGCAATTTGAAGAAGCAGCACAAACACATTTCAGTACTGGCCTCTTGTCATGCCTCTCATTCTTTGCATCTCAAAAATAGCTTTCTTCTTTTCTGAAAGTCTGGAGCCAAGAAAAGCCTCTCCTTCAACCCTGAGATAAAGAAATTATTTCCCTTTTTTCCCCTGAAGGGATAGGAGGGCTTAGAGAAAGGCCCTTCATAGTTGCAGCACTCTTGCATTAAGACTAAACTTACCTTAGAGGGAAGAACACTACTGAATTTCCAGATAATTGACATTTTTATTAGAATCAGGGGAATAAAAGACCTTTCCTCACAATATTGCCAGTACCAGTTATATCATTACAGCAACAGCATCTTCTTGAGCTTCTGTTCACTATCAGAACATGGAAGGTTACATTCTTTCTGACAATGAAGACCAGTTAGAAAACTCCAGACTCTCTCTCTTCCCCCTTCCCACTGGCACTCCCCTTGAGGGTCAATATCACACCCCAAAACATTGAAATGACTGTTTTTAAATTACCGTTCCAGAAATGGGGCTTATAGTGCTTGAATTCAAATAGAAAGAATTGGTTTCTCTCATTTCAGCTCCACAAATACCTGTATCACCAGAAGGGAGAGCAGAAGCTGAACAGCACTAGTAGGAAACTTCCTACAAGATGTAGGCCATGTATGAAGGTATATTTAACTACAACTTACAAAATTCACCATGATAACCTCCTAAGATCAGGTACTGAATCTGGAAACTCCAGGTGTTATTTAACAACTCCCAAGTGTAGTTTTGATCATGAAAACCCAATTGATTCTCTACAGTGAAGCAGTAGCAGGTTTCCACTCTGTGGCAACAAAAGCCTCAGTATCGTGCAAGTGAAAACCACTATAAATTCACATTAAAGCCTGTAACATGACCTTTTAAAAGTTACTTTAGGTTCCAGTTCGTAAACTATCTGTGTTTTGTTGCCGCTGTAGATTTT